GCACCGAGGGGGAGAGGGCCAGGCTCTGTTTAGAGAGCAGCCTCCTCTCAGCCCGTCCTGAAAGGGCTTCATCTCCAACATGCGTGTGACGGGATAAACAAGGACGCAAGCACAGGTTTGAAGACAATGGAGAACGTCTCCTGGTATCTTAAGAACACTATACAATTCCAAAACATTTCATTTCAGTTGTCCTTGATCAATGTGTGTCAGTCCTTGGAGGCAGCTGACTCAACTTTCTCCTTGGTAAGTTGGAATCTGTACAAGTGCCTTGTGAGCCTTTTCTCCCAGCAATAAGAAAATTTTCTCCATTTTCCTCCCAATCCACCTACATATACAGACACTCCTGGACTTATGATGGGATTACGTGCCAATAAATCCATTGAAAATACATGTAATGCCTAACATCATAGCTTAGCCTGCCTTAAAATGTGCTCAGAGCATTTACGTTAGACTTTAGTTGGGCAAAATCATCTAATATAAAGCCTACTTTATAGTAAAGTAGATGTAAGACTTCAAACCAAAAAAGTCCTAGAAGAAAAAAACAAAGGCAGATCTCCCTTAGCAGTATTTTTTTGGATATATCTTCTTGGGCAAGGGGAAAGTAAAGAATAAACAGATGGGACTACAAATTTCTGCACCGAGCTAACCATCAACAAAATGAAAACACAGCCTACTGAATGGAAGAAGATATTTACCAATGAGACATCCGATAAGGTGTTAATATCTAAAATATAAGGAACTTGTACATCTTAACAATCTTATTAAAAAATGGGCAGAGGACCTGAAGATGGCCAATAGACATAAGAAAAGATGCTCAATGTCACTAATCAGAGAGATGCAAATTAAAACCACAATGAGATATGACCTCACACCTGTCAGAATGGCTACCATCAATAAACCAGCAAGCAACAAGTATTGGCCAGAATGTGGAGAACAGGGAACTCTCTTGCACTATTGGTGGGAGTGCAGATTGGTGCAGCCACTGTGGAAAGCAGTATGGGGGTTCCTCAAAAAATAAACTATCCTACAACCCAGCAACTGCACTTAAGAAATCCAAAAACACTAATTTGAAAAGATATGCATCCCTGTGTTCATTATAGCATTAGTTACAATAGCCAAGATGGGAAAGCAATTTAAGTGTCCATCAATAGATAAGTGGATAAAGATGATGCATATATACAATGCAATATTACTCAGCCACAAAAAAAGAATGAAATCTTACCATTTGTGACAATGTGGATGGACCTAGAGGGTATTATGCTAAGTGAAAAAAGTCAGAGAAAGACAAATGCCATGATTTCACTTACATGTGGAACTAAAGAATAGAATAAATGGACAAACATACTCAGATACATAGGAATTAAGTACAAATTAGTAGTTATAAAATAGTCATGGGGATGTAAACTACAGCATAGAGAATACAGTCAGTATTGTCAACTATGGTGTTAGATGGGTATTAGTTATTGGAGTGATTATTTCATAATGTAGTATATAAATCTTACTGTGTTGCACACCTGAAACGAATATAATACTGTATGTCAACTGTAGTTGAAAAAAATAACGAAGTGTTCGATATCATGTAATTTACACCCAAAGAATGCTGGCTGCACACTGGAGAGCATCGGTGGTTTTCCCTCACAATTGGTAGATCACCGCCAGCATCCCGGGCGTGTCGTGCCACACATCGCTAGCGCAGGAAAAGATCAACATTCAGAATCTGAAGTAAGATTTCTACTGAGTGCATATCGCTACCAAACCATAAGGCAGGGACCATCTGTACCTGACTTACCAATGATTTCCCCCTCCCCCCGCCAGAGTTTCTCTAAATTTACTCATTTTTACAAAAAGATAAGGAATATTTCCCTCCATCCAACTCAATAAATATGGCATATATGACAAAAGTTTTAAATGAGTGATTTAGTTTTCATTTTATACTTGTCAGCTTGATTTATAAAAATTCAAATGCTAACATTAATTTGTAATAAAAAGAGTAGTTAACATTTAAAAAGGCGCACGCACACTCTATAATCTCTAGGGGAACAGTCCCTGTAGTTAGAGGCCACAGTAACGAGCAAGCTGCCTAGCCCAGGCCTACCTGCTCTCTAAGGCTGGACGGGCCTTACAGAGTGTCCTCCAACTTCAGATTTGGTGGGAGGAAAGCCTCTGCCAGGCTTGTTCGTGTAACACCCCGATGGCCCAGGAACCGGTGAGCCCAGAGCCCACCTTGAATGTGGCTATTGCCGAAGGTATCCCCTCCCCACCTGGTGCATGCTGGCTTGCCTGCCCCACTATTTCAGGTATATTTGCAACTTCACTCTTAGCTGCCCAACCAGGACCAAGCCCCAGTTCTCCCCCACGTCCTATCTTCCTCTCGTCACCGGCCCTCCCGATGTCTGCATGAAGTCACCACACACTTCAGCTGCTGCAGCCTCCTGACTGGCCTCATCTGCATGGCCCCCGCGTTACTGGTGTTTGGTTTCATTTACTGCACTTAGAAAGAAAATTCTAACCTGCTTCCTAAAAATTGTATAGGTGGCTTTTAACTGGCCTTTAAGCTTCCCCAGAGGAGGGGGAAAAACAAAATCTTGTCTTTTAAAGAAGCTTTGCTAAGTGATAATATCATTAACAATATCGTAGGCATTGTTACTCCGACAGTCGGAAAACCTAATAAATTGGCTGTGGAATTAGTGGGATGGATAACACTAGTGCCCTGTCATGTGGAAAAACATGGGTGAGTTTGGTTAGTGTGAGAAACAAACGTCAATGGAAAAAGACCCCAAGTGCAGGCTGCTGGACAGGCACTGAATGGTACTGTTCTGAACACAAAGTTACTTAAGCGCCAGAAATGTGGTAATGACCTCCGTGGCCAGAACTGCCTGGTTCTCTGTCCTTAGCAGGAATCTTGCCCCTTTTCTGACTCATCTATAGAGGCCCCTTGCAGGGATGAAATTTGCCACCTTATTTGGGCTGAGACATAACCGCTGTCAGCCTGTCCGTGGCATTCCTGCTGTTCGAGGCCAAGCTTGCCAGAGAGACGGGTGGGCAAGTCGTCTTGGGAATGCCATGTCATTGTTTTAAGACCACGTACTGCCAGAAATAGATGAACTGAGGAGTGACAACTGGTATTGACTAAAATCACACAGATCTCCAAAATGATCACCCACTAGAAAAGTCTGGAGGATTCAGTGAGAATCCCGGATCATTCAGTTATGCCCAAGGGCATTCACCCTGTTTCTGAAGAGGCTCATAAAAATGTCCCTCAGTCACTAAGAAAGGGGTGCATTATAATCAATATAATTGGATTAGTAAGTTGGAAGGAACAGACATACATCCAAAAAAGATTTCCACCAAAATGGTTCATTTCCACTCTAGCTGGTTTGACTCAGTGGATAGAGTGTCAGCCTTCAGACTGAAGGGTCCCAGGTTCGATCTGAAGGGGGTGTGTAGGAGGCAGCTGATCAATGATTCTCTCATCACTGATGTTTTTTCCTCTCACTCTCCCTTCCTCTCTGAAATAATTTTTTTTAAAAAAAACAAAGACAAAAAGGTTAATTTCCCAAAAAGTGTTAAAGGCTTTAGGGAACGCTTCATCTAGCTGTGATTCCCTTCGGTGGAATATGTCACTCAGTACTGCTGCTGGATGAGCAGGTGTTGAAGTGTCAGCCCCACCCAGGATGGCTGTGGTGAGAACGACTAGGCAACGCGCTGAGGGTTTGCAAAACTCAGTTGCTATGCGGAAACAGCCCTCCCTACGCAGGCCATGGTTGGAGGAGATAATGACGCACCAACCGCTGGCCCTGAGCACTCCACACCAACTTAGAGCTCCCACTGGGACAGGTGTAGCACCCAGGTGATGCTGGGTGATGGTCCTGGCCACATGGGCCTACAGTACACCATCGGGTGCCCTGCCCCAGGACACGCTGCTTCTCCGAGGGCCTGCTCAGCGACACTCACCAGCATGCTCCAGTTTTGAAGAACAGCTCGAGAAGAGTAGCCACCACTGAAGATGCATTAATACCCACAAGACAGATTGCAGCCACCATCACACACCTGGAACCTGGGCTGGAGAAAGAGACCACGCATTAATTAAACCCACTAACAGTGCAGTAGTTTCCACCCACAGCCTGGCCTGCTGCGAGGGTTCCCTGGGCCTTTAAGACCAGCCTATTCTGGGAGCAACCAGCCGAGAGTCTAAGGCAGCGGTTCTCAACCTGTGGGTCACGACCCCTTTGGGGGTCGAACGACCCTTTCACAGGGGTCGCTTAAGACCATCCTGCATATCAGATATTTACATTACGATTCATAACAGTAACAACGAAAATAATTTTATGGTTGGGTCACAACATGAGGAACTGTATTTAAAGGGCCAGAAGGTTGAGAACCACTGGTCTAAGGCAAAGGGACCAAAGGCCTCTGCCATCGAGCTGGCCACAAGCGCCGCCTGAGAATGAACTGGTATCTGTGGCATGAAAAGCTGACAGCCAGGACAGCCAGCTTAGGATCTGGTACGAGGGAGGGAAGACCTTCAGAGCCCAGGGTGGTGGATGTGGCTCCCAGGGACACCTGGCATGGAGGTCTGAGAGAAGAGCACCTGGGAAAAGTGTGCTTCGGGCGATGTTCTCGTGTTCACTCAAGAACCAGGGTGTAAATCACCTGGGGCAGAGGGGCACCAGGGATTGCCTCCCCCATGGGCTGGATCCCCAGGACTGTCTGAAGCCCTGCTAAGGGAAGGCACAGGACCTGAGGCCCCCCAAAGAGAAGAAAGCCCGAAACCTCCCCAGCACCAGGGCCTTCAGACCAGTTGCAACCCTGGTCAGCCCAAGGCCACACAATCATTTCTGGAGAACCCTGTGGTGATAATGTTAATCCAAGCACCTACCAGAAAACAGAACCCAGAAGGAAGCATTTGTGAACACATCCTTCTGTTCCCTAGGGTCTGAGAATTTTGAAATAAGGTGCAGAGACGAGCAAATAATAAATTGTTGGTCCTCTTCCTGCAGGCATGACTCTGGGCCAGCTGGTTTCCAGGAGGTCCTGGTGCCGTGGAAGGAAGCCCAGTGGCCCCTTTCGCCACTAGTTCTCATATCAGCCCGGTCAGCCCTGCTCCCCTCGCAGACAGGCTGTTTGTGGGTGCGGCTCTGTGCACAGGCATGCACATGTATGCACAAACCCTCTGAGTGCCCCTGCAGGTCTCAGGTCCTCCTGCTCAGGAAGCTGGCTTTCCAGGAGACCCCGTGGCACTCTGGGTCCAACTGACACCCCCCTCTGGGATTCTGGGTCAGGTTGAAGAACATGTCAGAATTAAGAAATGTTTTCCCCAGAATTTCACTATAAAAATAAACAATGAGTTGATGTGATTCTAGTTTCCTAGTAAAAGGTTTATTTCAGGACAGGAAAAAGTCATCCCTGCAAACCAAACTTATCAGCTTACCCATCTTCGCTCACCCTTTCCAAACTTGCCAAGAGCACTGGAGGGAGGAGGGAAGGAGGGAGCACCCCCAAGCAGCAGCAGCGGACCTGGGGGTCCTCCATGGCCGCCTGACCGAGGCTGCATTGGTAGGATGCCTGCCTTTAAGAAAGGCTGAAGGTTCCTCTCAGTATGACTTAGGACTGTTAGGAGTCACCCAGCTGCTCTGTCCAGTTATTACATCAACACGTGTCCACTGCCTGTGCTCAGCTGGTGGGCAGAAAGGATGCACAGGCAGATTCTGCTGCACAGAGATCCTGGGAGGTGACCCTGGAGGGAAGCCTGAGTGTGCTCATGTTTGCCTTATGGTGAGCACAGGGGCCACTGGAATGCCCACTGCCAGCCCCTGGGACAGACGGAGGAAGTGTGTGTCGGGGCAGAAGCTCCCGTGGGTGGCCCTGACCGTGACTGTTCTCCAGCAGCTGCTCTGGGACTCAATGCCAGGACGTAACACATGGCTGCCCCCTTTGAACTTTCTCCAGGGACCAGGCCGGCACCTCTCTGGTGCATATCACACATGCTCGGGAGTCTCCCAGATCCCCCAGCCAGACTCACAGGAAACAGATCGTGGGTGGAAGTTGCGGGACCCAGCTCTGACCGCATTAGGCGGTCCCAACAGTCTTGCAGGGAGATGAGCTCAGTAAGTGCCCGTGTGGTTAGCAGACGCCGTGGAGGACTGGGCAGTGGCTGGAAGGGGCACCCACCACAGGAACTAGTGAGGACGGGTTCTCAGGCCTGCTCGTACTTTATAGCTCACAAGGGGCTGATGAGCAGGCAGGGAGGGGTGAGCTGCACAGGCTGCCTGGGCCTTCCCAGTTCTCACCTCAGCCTGCTGTATCTCAAGCTGTTTACTTTGGTTTAGCTAAGGGGAGGCCAGAAGAAGAGGATAGTGAGGTGAAATCATTCTCTAAACTCGAATACCGTGAGGTCTGTTCTGAGCACGGAGCCCATGTAAATCTGGGGAAACTGGGTCTCAGTGCGAAGGGTGTCAGGCTGACCCTGACTCCTCTGCCCCCTGTGAAATGAAGTGCCTGCCAGCCCATAGCATCTACCCTCTTACTTGCTGTGCTCTTTTCCCCTTGGCACCTCTCACCACCTACCGGTGTTTAGTATGTTACTACCCGTCTCCTCCATGAAGGCAAGGGTTTTGTCTGTGTCTGTTCACTATCCTCAGCACCCAGAACAGCCCCTTACACGCTACAGGTGTTCACTGGAGATTTACCGTGTTAATGAACTGAAGTGTGCTGTGGAGACCTTGGCTAATAGGAAGGGGAATGGCCAATCGGTGATGAAGTGCCGCTTTGGTTTCTGGGCACACTGCATCGAGAGAGCATGGTGCCCGGGGCCCTTCTAGGGAGAGGCAGGGTGACTGTGGAGCCGCAGCAGCTGTCTGGGCCGCGTGAAGACCTAGAACCGTTCCTGCTCTGCTCAGCTCCAAGCTCTGCCTTGACTTCCAGCACCTGGGACTCCCCTGATGTGGGCTCCATCCCTGGGCACTCACGTCACAGCCAGAGATTAAGCCATCCTGCCCCAAACTAGACATAAGGAATAAACACTTCAAATTCTGGCTTTACTCTTGCCATGTCCCTCTAATTTGATGAGGCTGTAGCTACATATGCTTATAATTTCTATGCTGTGGTCTTGGTTCATGTCCAGGGAATTTTTCATGAGTTCTTAAAAAAAACCCCTCCCAGAACCACCCCCATTCCTAACACTGCTCTCTGTGCCCCCCCCCACCCCCCCAATTACATTTGGATAACCAACAAGGAAAGCTGTGTAACTCTCATTCCTTGTAAGGAGTGATTAACAACTGCAGCATACCTGGGAAATGGATCGTTTCCAATCAGTGTGTATTCTGGATTCCCTGCCACAGGCTGGATCATTAGCAAAACTCTAGTGCTGGGCAGACAAAGCTTGTACCTGACTAAACACCATCCATCAAGGAGGACACTGAACAAATAGAAATACCAGTGCCAGCCACGCTCTGACAGCCTTACGTATGCCACTCGAACGCCCACACCTCACTAGGGAGCGCCCTGAACAATGTCTCTCCTTTCTCACTAAAACGAGTGTCCACGACTCCTGCCTATTAGAATGTAAGCTCCTTTGGGGCATGGGCCTGGTTTTGCACATTTTAATATCTAGCATGTAGCAGACACATAATATATGTTTTTTTTTAAGAATAGAGAGCTTATTTCCTTTGATAGTCACTGGTTTTCCTTTAGAAATAGCAAGTTAAAGAGGGTCAATGAAAAATCCTTGAAGACCTCTGGGCAGAGCAGGCCCAGGACTGCGGAGGGTTTGGAAGGACAACATCCTGACGCTCTGCATGTCAGAAGTGACAGCCAGCTTGCACAGAAGGTCTGATACCAGTTGTCACTCCTGCTCGTCATCTATTCTGGTGCCACCATTCCCTGGGAGAGGATAGCCCCTCCGGTGAACAGAAGGCCATGTGGTTGGCACCTACCCTTCGTTTGTCTTTTCTGAGATACTTGTTTGGCTGTAAAAGGTTTCCATGATTTCATCAGCATCACTTTTCAATTCTGATGTACCTTCCCCAGGATTACATAGCCTGGATAACTAGCTCTCTTAGAAGGAACCTAAGCCAAGAGTCTAGAACAGCGGTTCTTAACCTGTGGGTCGCCTAAGACCATTGGAAAACACATATATAATTACATACTGTTTTTGTGATTAATCACTATGCTTTAATTATGTTCAATTTGTAACAATGAAATTGGGGGTCACCACAACATGAAGAACTGTATTAAAGGGTCGCGGCATTAGGAAGGTTGAGAACCACTGCTCTAGAAGGAGCCTGAGGAAAGGATCCACACTGAACTGATCTAACCTCAGGTGGGATGAGAGACTAGTCCCAACCCAACTGCAGTGAGAAAGTACAGTTATCCATCCTCCTTCCTAAGCAGCCTCCCTCCTCCACTCTCCAGCCCCCAGAACAAACAATGCCTCCCTAGGAGATGCTGCATCTTTACGCAGACCCTGCAGTGCGTCATCCGCTGTGCTTCCTAAGGGGGGGCAGCCCCAGCCCCTGGCAGCTGCCGCCACCTCTAGATTTCTGGCAGATCGTCAGTGGGGAAGGACAACTTGGACAATGGAGGTGAGCCCGACACAAATGAACAGCAGGATCTCTGGCTGGAACCCATGCCGCTTTGTAATAATCATGTCTTCCCTTTGGCTACATACATGTTTCCAAAAAAATCCTTCCTCAGGCCCTGTGCCACCACCGTCCTTAGCCAGCCCAACTCGCCAAATTCAAAGGTACTCTGTCCTTTTACTCACTGTCCTGCTGTAGTGGACACTGCTGACCAAGCAGCTCAGCACTGCCTTGCCAGCTCAGTGCCTCATCTGCTTCTCTGGCCACTCTTCCCTCGCTGTTCATCATCTCCTGACCCCCGACATCTAGGTGAACCTCCAGGTTCTGTCCCGCTGACCTCTCTCCTAATGCCATTACTTTCTCAGCCGTCAGCTTATCCTGAGGGCCAGATCTACATTTCAGCATACATGTATGAGCTCTTTGTGAGCTTCAGAAGTTCAAATGATCTCATCCCAGACAGCTCTACAAATACTGACCAGCCTCTGGACATTGAGAGAGAAACACACAGTCACAAAAGAGAGGGGTGCACGTGAGCAGTGCCTTCTGGAACTACACGACGCTACAGTGCTAGACCTATGTCACCCTGGCAACGGAGGGTCCCACAGGGCCAAACGATCAAGGCTTTTCTGAATGAAGAAACAAGGGCTAAGGATCATAACTTAAGTTTAAAAATGATGGGTGTACGGATATGGAACATGAACTTAGAAAATCCTGGACCTAACAGACAATTAAATACTAGTATACCTCAAAACTTAAAAGTGGTACTTTCAGGAGGAAAATGTTTCCCCTAAACAGTGAACTTTTAGATTTCACAAAATAGTTCAATATTATAAAGAATACCTGGGTATCTACCAGGGACTACTAACTTTATCTTTCTGAGAAAGGACAATTAAAATGCAATTGCCATTCACTAACACTGCCATTTCATTTAAAACGGGTACTTGAACATACACCCATAAGAACCTAATTTCAGAATTAGGGACAAATACCATCAACTTTTGTCTTGATCTCCATCATAATAGAGAAGTGAAAACTAGAACAGATGACCACTGGCCCAAGAGACACACACACACACACACACACACACACACACACACACACACGGGTGGGGAAAAGTAGGTTTATGGTTGTGAATCCATAAAACAGAGTTTACTCTTGTATTATTAATTATTGGGTTACTTTCCGTATAACACATGTAAACCTACTTATGCCCAGCTGGTATATGGGTGCCACTGGTGTAGATTTTGGTTAGAGGTTAGAGCAGTTTCCCAAAGTGTGTTCTTTGTAAAAAATTAGTTTCCTAAGATTCAGTGTAAAAAAAAAAAAAAGTTCCCTGGTCTCAACTTGGGGAAGACTGCATCCTAGAGTTCCCTAATCTTAACGATTCACGATGCTCACATTACAAAGGCCCCGAGAATCTTTCGGTAAAGAAGTCTAACTTTGTTTGACACTGGATGCACTTATGCACTCCCCCTGCGATGATCCCTCAGGACTACTTCTTTGGCCACACTGAGGAATACGTTGGGACAGGTACAATTCTAACTTATTGAAGTTGATGTCTTAAAGCAGAAATGTCACCCTCCAACTTACTTACTTTCACCACCAGAGAACGAGTCCTGACTGCCAGGTAAGGGTCTACTGACTGGCCACTCTGCTAAATCTTTGGTGGGATTTCTGATGCTCTCGTCCCCATCACCAATCCCTGTCCTGGTTGGCCAGGCCCTTCCTTCAGAACAAAGAAGCCTTCTTTCTGACCTAAACGAGCTCTCAGGAAGTGCCCCGCTAAACGTGAAGGTGACATGACTCACCAACCGAGACTTCATGTCAACAGGGCACCTTTCCTATGGAAAATGAAGCCCAGAGCTCTTCCTCCTCCTCACGACGAGGCGCTGACCCGATAAGGCCGGCTCCAGCACCCACCACTTCCCCAGTATTTTCCCTGTGAGTGAGTCCAAGGCCTAGAGGCCAGCCACCCCCCCCCCCCCACCCCACCCCATGAACCTCTTAACAGGCTCAGTGGCCTCACGTGATCTAACACACACACACCCAGGATTAATGGTGGGAGAAGAGCACCAGTTTAACTGGGAAGTATGTTTGCCTTAGAAGAGGAGCTTTTCAAGAAAAGGACCATGCCTGTAGGTCGGCCTCAGGGACATAGGGACTGGCATTCCCCAGTCTATCCCTGGTCTCACTATTCTTCCTGTTTGTGAAGGAATAATCCAGACCAAGGGAAGGTTGCCCGTAGAAACCTACCATTTAAGACTCTACTTTAGGGAAGACTCCCCAAACTCATACAACAAATTAGGGTTCAAAGCGACAGTGCTTTGTACTTAAACAAAAATGCAGTCAAGATACTGAATTTAAAAAGGCATTTAAAATTTTTATAGAAATTCTACATTTATAGAAAAAAAATCACTTGGCAGTTCTCTGAAGCAACGTTAGGCCTAAGATAAAACAGCACAAAGATGACAATTTAGGATATTGTTTCCATCAAGATAAGCAGCTTTCAGGAAAGCCCAGCGCCTGCCTTCAGGATAAACATCAGGCATTTCAGAGCCTAGAGCTGTGGAGGAGAGGCTGTTCCAGAACCCAGCCTCTGCTGCCCACTCACACGCTAGATCCAGGCCAGCACAGAGACCACCTCCTGGCACATCCCCTCCCCTCAGACTGTCCGACCGACCCTCCGACCCTCCCCAGGCCCCACAGCCGCTCCTGGGACAGGCTCCTTCATTTGGGGGTGGTCACACCAGTCCCCCCATCCAGTTGCCTTGTTCTATATACTTCTTTAGGGCCCACCCTGTGGCCCACAGGATATCCGCGGTCTTGCCACCATCCAAGACATGCCTCATATGTAAGCTCTCTTAATAAATTAGATGCACCCTATTTGGTTTGGGTCAGTGGATAGAGCGTCTGCCTGTGGACTGAAGGGTACTGGGTTCAATTCCAGTCAAGGGCACATGCCTGGGTTGTGGGTTCGATCAACAGTGTGGGGCATGCAAGAGGCAGCCGATCAATGATTCTCACTCATCACTGATGTTTCTATATCTCCCTCTCTGAAATCAATAAAAACATTTTAAAAAAATTAGACACAATGCTGAAGTTGTCAGCTTCTTTCTTGGGTCTCAGCCTGGGGAGATTGTACACACATTATCTGAAGCTGTACTATACACAGGTGCACGAGGGGAAGTTACTGCTGATAAAGTCTAAGACTCCCATGATGAATCACTGTAAAAAGTGTTTTTTTAATCCTCATCTGAGGATACCTTTTCCATTTATTTTTTTTAAAAAAGAGAAAGTGGAAGGGGGAGAAAGAAACATCGATTGGTTGTCTCCGAGGCTTGGTATCGAGCCTGCAACCGAGGTAGGTGCGTGACCGGAATCGAAGCCTGGACCCTTCAGTCTGCAGGGTGATGCTCTAACCACTGAGAAACCGGCAAGGGCTCACTGTAAATTTTAGATGACTTATGCCTTCACATGAAGAGGGTTTGTGTGGGGCTGGCAGCAGGCGAGCTACAGTGACAGTGAAACCCCGACACCTGTCCTTCCGAACCAGCATGACGAAGTGGGAGGCCAGGCTCGGGCTTTAGGTTAGACTCAGAGGAGCATCCCTACGTCTCCCTCGACCCCAGGGGGCAGTCTCGTGGAAGGACGCACTGCCACGGAGTTCTTCCAGTTCGGGAGGTGGGGGAGCCCGGGAGGGCGAGAGCTGCCCATGTTCCGGCACATGTCCCGGCTGCCACGGGAAGCGAGTACTCACGTGTATTCAGCAGAACTGACGGGACTTCCAGCCCTGAGACGTAGCCTCGGAGGGAGGGAGCCAGCGCATCTGGAGAGAGAGGTGGGAGAAGGCGGTAAACCAGGGCTCCCGGCTGCCGTCTCACTGCTCAGAGTCAGAGTGTCCTGCTGGGCTCCACCCTCTGCTCCATGGAGGCGCCCACTCACACCTGCTCATGGCACTTCTCCCTCAAGAGACTTCCTACATGCCTCTGTGAATGCAGAGGCCGAGCTTGCAGGAAAACACCACCTCAAGGAGCCCTGATCCTCTTTCAGAAATAAGAGGGTGGCGAGCTGAAGTCTGGCCCAGTGGGCCCCCTCCCCACACGCAGCAGCGCCTGGGCTGCAGGACAGGCTGCTAACGGCTCCCTCAGAGCATGTGGACCTGCTCTGATGAAGAAAGGATAGGTCATGACACCATCGAGCCAGTGGTCAGGCCAGGACTGCAGATTCTGTTCCTGTTCTTTTAGAAAAGGGGTCTGGCTTCTTGGCACTGTGGGTGTCGGGCACCCTATGCCTTCTGTCCAGAGGGACCCGCAGCCCAATTCCATTAAGTTTCCAAAGAGGAAGGCCAACCCCAAACAAATGGATCGAATGAGGCTTTGTCCTCTTGGCAGGATGTTCCTGGTCCTGTACTGAGGAAAATGTTAAAAAAACAAACAAAAGGGCAAGTGTACTTTGGCTTTAACAAACATCCATCTTTTGGCCATGTCAGTTTTGTCCCTAAGCCTTTGGACAGAGGGAAGAGGGTCTGTTTGCCGCTGCTCTGTTTGCACTGAGGAGGGCCTTCCTTCACCTGAAGCAAGCACTGCTGGGAGCAGTGGTGGCAGAGCCAAGTATAACATGGGGTTGGGGGGGGGAGTGCCAAGAAGAGGGCTGGGTGCCCCTTGGAGGTGACACCCTCCAATGTTACCTGGGTCTGGCCCAAACCGTTTCACCTGAAAACGTTTCCAGAGTAGAATGTGATGCTGGGCAGAATGTAACCCTGACAAATCTACTCCCGTGGTTTAATACAACGCATTTCGCACAGAAACCCTTCTTCACATGGCGTCTAATCTCCACACCATGGGCAGGTGCAGCAGCACTGGCTGACATGGGGGTACAGGGGGCTGAGGCCTGGGAGGCAACCGCAGAAGCCAGGGGCTCTGCGGGATTGCTGAGACCTGCCGCCTCATCCTCCCTGCTTCTACAGGCAGGAAACCAGCTGAGTCCTGGGTATTCTGAACGATGTCCCGTGGTCATGGGGCCAGTGGATTCAGGCTCACCAGCTCTCCTGATTTTGTTCTGAAGCTGGCTGTCTAAGAATGGGTCCTCGCAAAGCCCACAACAGTCGCCCCACCTTTTGCCCTGGTCCCCACAAAGTCCTTGGCGTTTCCTTCCACACTCCCACCCACGGGCCTCCCCCCAGAGCGGTGGTTTCCTGCCTGGCTGTCAGTGCTGCTCTCGGGGACACTCTCCCAAGCTGGGCAGAGGATCCGGTCTCACTCACTCGGGAAATGGACTTAAAAGCACTGCGGACGCACTCAGCTCTGCCTACACCTCGGGGAACCCCTCAGGCCAGCTGTGCTTAGCGATCCTGAGGGACCACAGCACGTTGACTAGAAATCAGAGGAGCAGCTCGACTGGGAACCCCGCGCCCCCCCATATTGTGAGAGGGCAGAGCTCCCTTCCTCAGGGGCCTCCAGCAGGCGCTGAAGCTCATTTAAGGCAGGGCCAGAGTCATTTCCACACACGGGGCAATGAAGGGAATGAGGGCCCAGAAACTTTGCCTGCAGGTAGGCTAAAGAACACGTCATTTTGGGAATTTAGGGGTGTACACAGAGCAAAGGAGGGAAAGGAAGAGGGGCAATGTGGGAGGCAGGAGGACCGGAGGGGAGAGGAAGACAGAGACACAGAGAAAAAACGCGTTACCTACCCATGGCTTATGGCTTTGTGCATCTGAATCCACTTGCTCCCTAAGCAAAGGGCAGGGCTGGAGCTGCCTTCCTGAGACAGGTGGTAAAGGGTGGGTCGGGGCACAGCCCTGAGGCAGGTGAAGGGCTGGGAACCTAAACACAGTGGAAGGGGGAGGGGTCTGTGTGCACCTGGGCTGGGGGAGCGCGTGACGACTGGTGCTGCCTGGGTGTGGGCCCGGGGTGCCAACCCACGAGGCCAAGACACGATGGTGCTTCAGAGGAGACAGGAGCCGCAGTGGGTGGCATGACCGGTTCAGTGCAGGCGGCTGCAGGAAGGGAGCCCTCATCTCCACGCACCCACGCCAGCCTCCCTGACAGCCTCTCGCACTCTGGTCCCTTCCACCCACACAGCACCGCTTTCATTCTCAGACACACCGGGCCTGCAGTGGTGGGACCAGCGCTACGCCAGCCTGGGCTGGAAGCCCCGAGCCTCCGGGGTGACAAGCAGGCTGCTTCGAGCTGTGGGGTCCAGGGAAAGCTGTGCTCAGCAGAGCCGAGGTGACGCTGGCCTGCTGGCCAGTTCTCAGGGGCACGTGGAGGCGAAAGGAGTAAAGACAGGCCTTGAAATTCATCACTCTTGTGCCGCAGGCTCTTCTCAC